AGATGTGTATAAATATATATATATATGCTATGTATAATCGTGTGTGTGGTCATCACCCAAAATGCATGCATGAGAAACGAAAGATACATAAGATTGACTTGATATAACACAAGCAATGTGCAGAGAAGTACTGTTACGTTTTTGACTTTTACTTATTTTTATTTTACACACACACACACAATAAACTATTTTTAACAACTAGTATATATCTGTGTACTCTAGAGCCTATATAGCTAGGTTTTCCCTTATTCTTCCACGTGCACAAACCCTCGAAGCCTCTGCTATCAACAAAGCCAAATACTGTACTGTACATCATGAGTTTAAACTCTTATATAGGGTGATGTATGCAAATTCAGGTTTCAGCGATGGACATCACTGTGATTGTGATTGGTGGTTTGAAATCAGCGTAGCGGAATCTACAGTACATGTTAAATTTCAAAAACCCTTTCACGACTTTCACCCACCGTCTCTTTCGACCAAATATATGAGGAGTGGATTTAGAAGGGATATGGTAGTTGGTCCTGTCACTGAAAAAAAACCCTCGAAGCCTATGCTATAAACAAAAGCCATCTACTGTACTGTACATCATGATCTTAAACGCTTATATAGGGTGATGTCTGTAAATCAGGCTTCAGCGATAGACATCATTGTGATTGGTGGTTTGAAACCACTGTGCTGTGTCTAGCGTAGCGGAATCTACATGTTAAATTTCAAAAACCCTTTCACGTCGTTCACCCACCCACCCTCTCTTTCTATTAAATATATCAGGCGTAGAGGCGGTATGAGTTATGAATATGAAATTAAATTTTCTCTCAATGTAAGGTAATGTATTTCCGTGTACATTGCTAAGTCTTTCATTACTGTTATTCTAATGTTTACTAACCGCGAAGGTTCTACTATCAAATTAACACAAGTACGATCTTAAACTCTTATATAGGGTGATGTATGCAAATTAAGGCTTCAGCTAGGGACATCATTGTGATTGGCTAGATAAGCATATGAGCGTCTGTAAAAAGCTTAGTAATTGTTCTTTCCGCCAAAACCTATTGCGGACGTAATATTTCCAAGTCTGCTGTGCAGCAAAGTAAATTTCAGCGGACTGATTTTGGCTTATGTGGACTACATTTGGCAAGTAAGTCCGCCGGACCGATTTTTGCCCCGGACCAAATTTTTCCTGACAGGCCCCTGGCAAATTTCATTCTCCTCTCCTTCTGGACTTTCTCTTTCTGGACTTTCTTCTCTCTATTTTCTCTATTTTTTGTAGTGTTAGGAATAGCCGCTGTGCTCCCTGGATCCGCTCCTGATAACGATTGATGGAATGATTGTTTGATAAAGCATATTTATATTGGCAAAGCTATATTGGAACTTAGATCAATACATGTATTGTTTACAAGTTCAAGAATAGACTTAGGTGCAAAAGTTTCTCGGGAAAAACTGTTCCTTCTGTTGTTTTCACCCGTCCTACCTTATATCATACTAAATGTAGCCAGTGATGATTGAAAACTTCTGATTAGCTGAACGTTTTAGCAAATGCTAACTACATTTGTTTCCTTACACTTTTTTTTATAAACATTAAATAAGAACATTGAGGCTAAAATTGCTTAAAAAGTAAGAACTAAAAATAAGAACAAATTGAGGCTGAGATAAAATGTCAATTAAGGTTTCTATTTTTTTTAATTAGACAAACCAACAAATCTTATCTATACCTGATGTTCTGATGTTCATTAGTAATGTAATACCCTCTATGATACAGTACAGTAATATACTGCCATACAATAATAATTTCTATGATTGAAAATGTGTAAAACATTTTGTGCCTCACATCAATAAAAAAAAATAAAAGAACACTGAGCCTTGGCAAAATTTTGCTGGTTAAACAAAACGTGTACATTGGTTATCAAACTAAGCGTTTCCCAGAAAGTACACAGGCGTTACATAACTGGAAAACCTGCATAGTAAAATGCTGGGTCATTATTTGCAGGGTCTCCTTCTAATAAAAATGCTAAGGAGTGTGTTTGTGGGATTTTGGTCTATCTGGTTTTTAAAATTATAAAAAAAAGATACTGTATTGTCAAGGCGCTGTAGAGTAGTACGGTACAGTAATATGGGCCCCTGTGTCCACTCCGGGACCCACTTGGACTGGGACTTAGCCCAGAACTCACATGCGTTACGCCACTGTTACGGCTCGGTGGTAAAGTGCTAGGTGGTAGTAGTAGGTTTCTACACCGCCGCGAGAGCTCACACGCATTACGCACCTGGGTCCTGTTTATTTTAATATGGTATGCCGTAATTGGACTTACTGGACAATATATGGAAAACTACATCCGTTTTCAATATGTGTGTATTGTAGAACCTTATCAGAATTGGAAGAGCTTTCCAACGATACCAAAAACAAATGATTGTGGTGAGTTTTTTTTCCTTTTACCTTTTGGGTCATGTGACTTTATTCATTGGTCTTTATCTCTGTAAATAATTATGTATTATTAAGTATAGGTGTAATGGAATTAATGATCAGTGAATAATTACCTTTCCATCGACACTAAACATAACTATGTATTATTAACGTGAATTAAAACAAATGGCACCTAACATTTTTAAATTCAGCATACCAAAATGACAAAGTTAGCCAATAAAATCCATTTTGGCACAAAAATGTAGCTGGATTACAAAGCAAACTGTACTGTTGCCACTAGTCTCTTATTATTTTTTTCTCATTCTGGAGAGCACCACCAACGAGCAAGTTAATTTTGAGACAGAAAAAAAAATCGAGTATGGGACGCCAAATAAATTAGGCATGACACGCAATAAGCGCAATAAAAATGTGTAACCCAAAATTAAGTCCTGGAACCCAGGCTAAACTCATATTAAACCGTTGCACATTGAAAAGTTCAACGCTTTTTAAACTGGTGATTCAGCTATACTGACGTCAAACCGCACCAATGGAATACATGACTGGGGGAGACAGTCTAGGCTCTTATCTATTTCATTATCGCTTGTAATCTCTTAATGGCCTAAAACAGCAAAAACAACTTTTTGAGGCACGGCTAACGAATGCAGAAGTATGTACACACATACTCTTTGCGAGACTACCGACCCGGTGAAAAACGACAGTAAACGTTATTATTTTCCCTCAATCAATCTTAAATATAAAATGATATTCACTTCATGTGATCAAGAATTTGATGATCTATGCTGTCTTTTTCAGACCCGTAGGCTTAAAATCTTAGACTGTTATTGCAAGACATCGGTTTTGCATTCTGTCCACCTACTTTAAAATAAGCATAATTGCAATATAGATATAGATAACATCTATACTCACAGGATCCTTATCAAGGTAAATTCTATGTTCTTCTTCACTAGGATTCATACCGCTTACATTTATACTCAGCTCCTCATCACCGTACAGAAAATGTGGCAAGGAACCAAATAATGGTGCTCCTAAGGATAATAGAAAAAATCCCTCAGTATTGTTTTTTCTTTTATTTTATTCAATTAATAAAATAACTACAAACACAAATGATAAACTACTACTACTATAATAATAATAATAATAATAATAATAATAATAATATGCACCAAGACTTAAGGGAATTATCTTTTGTGGTATTTTCACCTTTTAACGTAAATTTTTAAAAATTGATCTCTGATTTGTCCATTGTTTAAGTTTCCCTTAAGGACCAGGCCTAGCTAAACCCATTCTCTCCAATTCAAATTCCTAGCTCTGCCACAGCAATAGCACAAGCGACAGCAAACACCATAAAAAGATACGTTAGACAGAGACGATTGTTATGTAAAACTATAGTTATTATTCACAGATAGTTGGATATTCTGATAAACACTATCGAAGAATGCGATGATTTGGGGAAATTAGGTCTTGTTAAATTAAATTTTACACAGTTTTAGGCCTACTACTGGGATAAGACTTTCGACACCCAAGGGCAAAATGACCCACATATTTGTTTCATTTAGGAATGAAAATAATTAGAGTTCCTATATAGAGAGAGTTGCCACATGAGAAGTTCATGTCACTGTGCGCCCTCAATCTGTCATCCAACAAAAATAAGACAAGCTTTGAGGCTGAATCCTGGACTCATGTTATTTGAAAATTCATAACTCAATAAGGAGTATCACATTCATTTTTGCTGGAAAAAGACTATTCTACACTAATACTTGATTGAAAAAAAATAAATAAATAAAGTGTTTTGACCCCTGAACTCAAGATGGGAAAAGATGAGCGTATCTAAATAGTGTATTAAAATATGCCTCAGTGTAGTATTAAGTACATAGTACTTGACTAGGCCTAGTTAGAGTTCCTTTATAGAAAGAGTTGCGACATGAGCGGTTCACGTCACGTGACAACTGTACTGTACTGTATATATGTTGTTTCATGGGCTTAATTCAATGTAAACAGTAATATATACGGTAGTCAGATAAATTTATGTTATTATATTATTATTATTATTATTATTATTAATATTATTATAATTATTATTATTATTATTATCATTAGTGTTGCTGTTGTTTTTGTTGTTGTTTTTGTTATTATTGTGATGAAAAGTTAACACAAACGGTACACAATTAGGTCAATGAATGCGATATGGTTGCTAAACGAACAGACATGTAAAAATATTTTTTTATATTTTTTTTGTATTCCTCGACGGAATAATTCGTCTTCCCCGACCAAGGGGGAGGGGGGCTAGGCTTCCCCGACGAGGGTTTGTAGCCTCCCAGCCCCCTCTGGCGCTATCAGAGGTAGAACTTCCCTATTATTTCTTTCAATTGAGACGTTTCAAGTCCACTTCATACGCCGTGGCATAACAACTACTTTAGTATATTCCCAGTACATTATATAAATAAACATAGTCATATGGCACTTTTAGGCATTTATAAACGATTTAATTAGTATAAATTAAAAATTAAATTATTTTGAAAATGGTTATAAAATTAATTACCCCGTTTTTGGTTGGTAGAGTCTATGGTTATCAGTTAATCAACATGCAACAAAACATGTGCTTCCTCGTTAGAAGAAGGGTAAAGGCAATACATTAAACAGTAAGCTAGGGGAAAAAATTGTTTACAGTCATTATTTTGAACCTTCTTTGAAGAGCCTGATCGTTATAATACGATGTGTAATACATGCATTACCTTTCCTCTACATTTCGAGATTAATCAACATTGAAACAGAGTAAGAGTACATGGTTAAACCATAGACAATGGTTAAACATTTCTAGAATTAGATGATCTTACTGAAAAAGGTAGATTGTTCCAGGGACAAGCAGCAGCGGATGTAAATGTGCTCAAGCCGTAAGTTTTAGTATTACGATAGAACGGAGAGGAGGTTTTGGGACGGTAATAAGGAAGAAGTTCAGCAAGGTATGGAGGGATGCTTAAATGAATTGCTTTAAAATTTAGGCCTAATGAAAGTATTTTAATATAATTCGTTTGTCGACAGGAAGCCAATGGATAAGCGTCCCTTATGATGTTTAAATTTATTGTGAAGTAACCACACGAAACGTGATCTACTAGAGTATCACAGTAAACAAAAATAAGACAATAATTTTACCGTAATTGCACATGGTTATGTTGATGAGACCTCCTGGGGGACAGTTTCCTTCTATGTCACAGAAATCATAGTTATCCTGGTTTATGCTTGGGTGTGCCAACAAATACTCAGTGACATTGTACCGATAGAACAGAATGCCTTCTTTTTTATACTTTGATTCATAGTCGAGGTAAGCTGATCTGTTGACAAATTTTTTGTTAAATTTATTATTCATCAACGTAAATATCTTTTTCATATTATGCCAAATATCTGAAAAGTACAAAAACCCCAATTTTTTCGCAGAAAACAAATAAAATCTAACCACTGATATGTGGCAGGATTACTATTAAGAAGAAATCTAATCTACTCATAACAGTAACATACAAATAGAAAATAAAAAATTATATACAATCAATATAAACAAAATTAAGATATAATATACACATACAAATTCATACAATTCTGGTGCAAAATATTCGGTCAATGAAATCCTTTGGGATATATATTGGGTTAGAAACCCTAATGAGAATTCATATTATTAAGAGCATGGTGAAATGAGAATCCATGAAAGACTGGCAAGATATTCATGATGTGTTTTGTAATAGCGTTCCGCACTTTAGCTAAATATACTTTTAAAAATATGACAGCAAATCTCAAATTTACTGGAAAACTACAGGATATTTATCTGATTGAGTAGCATCTAAAGAATGACGAAAAACACTGTTGAGACGGGAAATGTAACAGCGATTCTAGATATAGCGATAGACAACATATAAAGGATGTTTTCTTCATTAGTTTCCAAAGCCGAAAACGAATGGGGAAAATGTGAGCGCTGGATTCGTTTGTCTGGCCGACATGGCAGCATTTGACAGTCGAAAAAAAAATCCCTAAATGGACTTTGTAGCAAGCATTATGTTGGCGGCAGAGGACCATTTAAGGAACATCCTGATTCATTACCTGCTCTTGTCTGCCAAGAACGAGTCAGTATAACTTTATAAATATATTCCAGTACCCATAAACTAGGCCTAGAGATAGAGGGCCAGATTGATGTTGGCCAAGATTCACATAAGGTACTTCAACTGACCTTGGCCTTTACGATTGGTTACGCTAGCCACAGCCAATCTAACTTATTGTAGTATAGTAGTAATAGTGAGGTTATGTCAACTGCAGCTGTACTACGAGTTTTAATACAATTTACAGTCTTAATAAACATAGTTGTTGTTCGTTTGGAGAGAGTTTATTTTTGTGTTTGTTTAATTAATGGATAAGTGAAGCATACACATGATACATAGAACATGTTTATATATGAGCAACAAGAGTTCCACAGCAATTAACAAAATTTGTAATAAAAAAAAAACACTAGCTTCCACAGGCTAAATTATGTATATTTCTATATATATATATGCGAAATATAGAATATAGAAAAAAGAATTGTCGAAAAAAAATTATAATTACATTTAATGCAAATTAAAATAAAAAATGTCTGGGTGTCTTTATTAGGTATAGAGGGGATGATCAACAATAATTTTATTTAAATACCGTTAGCTTAACCTGTGAATTTGGTTTATATTATTACATTTTCAGATAGATCACTAGAGTCGACCGAAAAATAAAAAAAACTATTATATCAAGAAATTGTGAAATTGTGAACACCAGATACAAGATACAATTTATTGTCTCCAGTTAAAATAAACGAAGAAATTACAGTTCTCACAAAATGAACAATTCCCAGAAAACCACATAAAAATTGTCAAGAAACAAAAAGAATCAACATCAATATTTCATCAAAAAGCACAGAAAAATTAAAAATTAAAGAAGGGCTACAATATTTAAAGATAATGAAAAATGTTAGACGAGAAAAAAAAGGGGTTAAACACTTTTAAAAGGAGAAACTACTCGAGGAAAAATTATTATTATTATTATTATTATTATTATTATTATTATTATTATTATTATTGTTATTATTATTATTATTATTATTATTATTATTATTAATTTTATTATTATTTTTTAATAATAATAATAATAATAATAATAATAATAATAATAATAATAACCACTGTAACTTATATTTTACTTCCTTGATATATTCAACACCCTTTGGGGTGGACTTCTTTAGCCTAACTGACATTTCAGATTCTATTATGGCTCCATTGTTAATAATTTAACTGGTCAACATCAGTAATACTTTCTACACTTGTTAATACGGTTCACAATACTTTTAATTTTACTTCCATCCATTTCCACTCAAAACCGTAATGAACCAACCATACAGGACTGTACAGAAATATAGAAAACCGCACAGAACCGATTAACTGAAAGTATACAAAGAAAGGGCTTGTCTACAAATAAACAGCAAATGCATTGCAAATATAGAAATACAGATTCTCATCTAACAACAAATAATCATAATTTACATTAGCAATAATTGATTGACTTCTTTAAGCTTATCTATAAGCCTACATTACACACAACGACTGGGTGTGGCAATTAACATCAAATGAATATTGTAATTCCAAAAGAAACAATAATAGCATAAAAATAAAACTCACCAAAGGTTGTGCCTTCATAAATTGACTATGATAGCATACAAATCCAAAAACAAGCCCAACTTCTTGCTTGCTAATATGCAATCATTCATAGATTACTCAGTTGTGGACAATTTCCCCCTTGCTCTTTTGGATGCTACACTAAAACTGCACACTACAATACCACACAGCTAAGCATAACAATAGCTATACATACATACCTTACATACCCACTCCCAATTGTGGCTTGTCACAATTTCACTACCAATTAATTCAACTTATCGCCTTTGCAATGTGATGGAGTATGCCTAAGCATTTGTAAGTTTTAAAACAGTAAAAGAGTAGCAAATCATAATGTTCACAAGTTCGTAATGTTCACAAATTCAGGTATAATAAATAAAAAGTCCTCTCAACGTTCATACCAAAATCAATTTAGTATTTCATATTTACTTTTCATCTGATGCGCCGGCTTCCAGAATAATTCAGAGTTTATCTATCGGTCTTATTAAGGTGTTCACTTGCGTTTTCACTTGAATGTGTCGCACAAACCCATCCTTATTCGGGAAAACTTCTATAATTTAACCTAGAAGCCACAAATTGAGTGTTCTCGTTAGGAATTAGCACAATATCTCCAACTCTAGCATTTCCTTTAGCTGAGAGCCATTTAGTCTTCTTTTGCAATTCTGAAAGATATTGTTTCATCCATCTAATCCAAAATATATCTGCCAAATATTGGGCTTGTTTCCATCTTTTGCGACAATCCTGTAATAAAATATTTTATAGAATTCTATAGAAAGTCTATAGAGGTTTAAGTGTTTTTATAGAATTTTATAAAAAAATTTATCCAATAATTTCTCTATATAAAACCTATCCATTCTCTATAGAGATAGTTCTATAGAAATATAATTCTATAGAAAATTGATCCAAAATTTTTTCTCTATATAAGACCCATACATTCTCTATAGATATAGTTCTATAGAAATATAATTATATGGATAATTACTTAGAACAAATGTTATAGAAAGAATTCTATTTAAATTCTATACAATTTCTAGATTTAATTATATATTTTCTCTTTAGATTTTTGAAATATAGTGTCTATAGAATTTTATATTTTTCTTTTAGAAAAATCCTATAAAATTCTCGTTTTATTCTGATATATTTTCTATGTAATTTTTAACGATTTTGGATAAAATTGTTTAGAAAGTCGTTAGAAATTGAACAGATAATTGCATAGAATGTATAATACAAATTCTATAAAATTATAAATGGATTTCTATAATATAATTCTTTAATTTTAAAATTATCTGGATTTTATCAAAATTATCTGCCTGCACTTTATCACAAAACATGAATCGATTTTCCTGATGTTTCTAGCAATCAAAATTGAGCATGAATATGGTAATTAGGTAGCTTTGAACCAAAGAACGAACAAATTGCGTAAGAAAACGACAAAACAATGTTCGAAAGATTTCTAAAATCAGCCTTCTTGTAAGAAGATCTTGTGTTTTGGACCAACATTATTAAATGTTATTTTCCATAGGCCTCTTTTGTATTCTAATTTATATATTTATAATTTCCTGACTCTGAGTGGTTCCTTGGCTTCTACCCTATTGCCATTTTCTGTTCCATGCAGAACATGGCGCACTAATATCCCATGTAGACACAACAAGCGAGTGAGCGCGCCACTCTAACAATAAATAGTAGGCTGTACGCACCCTTTGAATATCAGAGGTACAGGCCAGTAAGTAGGCCTACGTGTCATTATTGGATTGGAAACGAACTAGAGATGTACTCGAGATCCGGTATTGTGTCTCACGCTCATCATTCACATTGTTTTGCAAGGAAGACAATAGTAACTCGGCCTAGGCCTAGCAGACCCTACCTAGCTAGGCCTAGTCATAGTAACCCCTAGCCTACTGGCTGGGCTTAGCCAACTGCCAGACCACCTATGTGTGTCAAGTGATCGCTCCCATCAGTGATGTTCTCACACTGGCAGTCTGTGCAACTCGTCAACTTATATGTATAATGGGATAGTGTCTCTATTATTATACACTATTCCCCTAGGCCTAATCCAAGGCTTATATAGCCTGTTTTGCATGTTTATTTTATTACTTTTTTATAACAAATTCCTCCAAATTTATAATCCATTAATCTAATTATATCTCCTCAGAAGTGCTGCAGCGGTAAAAGTTTCAATGTCGATCAAGTTGAAAGATATGGCAGCTGATTACAAGAACATTGTCAGTGATGATCTGAAGTAATATCAGTAAAGTTTTAGCTGATTGTTAAATAAATACTTCATAACTGGCTGGAGGTACAATTGGAATAAACAAGAGAAGAGAAAACAAAATGGCATTGCAACAAGTTAATCTAGATATTTAACTAAAGACATTTTATTAAAAGAAAGTTTTTCAACAGTTGGAACTCTTTTGTTCAGGTTCTAAAAATATTCTTTAGAGTTTCTATCAATTTTCTAAAGACCATATAGAGTTTTAATAGAATTCTATTAAGACATTCTTTGGATTCCTATAGATTTTATACAGAAACTCTATAGGTCAGGTTTTAGAAAATTATATAGAATCAACCTATAGAAACTCTATAGATTTCTGAATTATTTCTAAAAACATTCTATAACTCCATATATGTATTCTTTAGAATGTTTATATTTT